CCATCAGCCCCTCACCCAGGCTGGCCAGGCACCCCAGCGGGACCCCTACCCTGATCCGGGACACCCTTCAGGGCAAACCAACCGGCCCCCACCCATGCACCAGGCCTCTATCCTATATAATAAAAGGGTAATATGCAAATTGACCCTAACAGCAGAATGACTGGGAATGACTGGTCACTATGACACACACTGACCACCAGGGGGAAGACGCTCAATGAATGAGCTGCCCCCTGGTGGTCAGTGCGCTCCCACAGCAGGAACTCTGCTCAGCCACAAGCCAGGCTGATGGCTGCCAGTACAGCAGTGGCGGTGGGAGCCTCTCCCGCCTCCTCAGCAGCGCTAAGGATGTCCGACTGCAGCTTAGGTCTGCTCCCCACTGGCAAGTGGACATCCCCCAAGGGCTCCTGAGCTGCCAGAGGGATGTCTGACTGCCAGCTTAGGCCCAATCCCCCAGGGAGCGGGCCTAAGCCAGGAGGTGGTCATCCCCCGAGGGGTGTCAGACTGCGAGAGGGCACAGGCCAGGCTGAGGAACCCCCCCCCCCCCAGTGCACAAATTTTTGTGCACCGGGCCTCTAGTAAACCTTATATGTGGATAAGCAGCAATTCTATTGGAATCCTTTGCTAGTTCACTGTAAAAAATAAGCTTACTCCACAGGCTAATTTTATTAAAAAGAATCAATTCTGGATAAATTTTTTCTGTGCCCACGAGTAAAGATAATAATAATGGTTACCATTTATTGAGTGTTTATGATGTCCCAGGCACTATGCTAGATCCTTTACATACAGGTGCATTATATAACTTTCACAAGAACCACTACCCTGTGTGGCAGCTATTTTATCTCTACTTTACAGTTGAGGAAACTAAGTCTCAGAGAGAATTAAGTAAATTACTCAAATTATCCAATGAAAGTGTGACTTAGCTGAGGCCCAAATTCCTGCTTTTAATCATTTCAGGAGCATCACTGCATGACTGCATGCCAAAACATTTGAGTAAAAAGTGTGTGTGTGTTGGGTGGGGGGAGGGAGGGTTGACTTAGTCATTAATTACTGGTTACTTGGTGTCATACAACTTCCAGTTGTTGTACTAAATTCAACCAAGGTCTGTATTGAATTCCTTTACTCTGATTTCTCATGTGGCTAAAAGTCCAAGGGGAATTGGTTGAATTTTATCAGCTCTAAAGTTTCCAAATCATTTGGAGGCATATAACTCTTATAAAAAAAAAAAAGGATTCTTAAAAATCTCAATTATATGATTAAATGGCAGTCACATTCACACATATATATGCAAAAAGATGGTAATAATGGATGAGAAATAATTGTAGTAATAATGAAATAACAAGACAGTAATTAAATATTAGGGTAGGGATATTTGAATTAGAACTTGTGGAAGTTGAAATGTTGACGTTGAAATGAAGCTTTTCTCTTCAATTTAGAAGTAATATGTTTATATTACCTTAAAATATTAGGGGGAAAGCTATTTCATGAAGACTTCCTTCCCCTTGCCAGACTATCCTGCAGAATCCCAGTAAGCTTTCACAGATGATAGCTGAATTTTTTTTTTAATTTTAGGTTTATAACCCAAGAGGAATTCTCTAGGCCTTAAGTAGTTTACCTTAATGGACAAGAAACTCTGTTGGAAGATAATTTCAAAAAGAAGTAAAAAATTTAAATTTTAAAACTTATACGAAAGGCTCTGTGTGAACCAGTATTTAGAATATTCTTTTAGTAATCTAGAAACTGTAATCTGTTGCCAAAAAATCCTTATCTTTTTTGTTGTATTTCCAATTAATACCAAAAAAGAATATGTAATGACAAAGAAAAATACTTCACACCTAAGAAAGATAACTTACTGAAAGGAATACTCATAGATAGGATAAAAATAAAATAAATCATAAATATTTTGCTGAGAATTTCAAATAGAACAGTCATAGATGGCTCATGATAAACACATGAAAAGATTTTATCCATAGCTTGTAATCCCAAAACACTTCTCAGGCCTCTCTTGATTGACCCTGAATAAAAGTCTTACTTCAGGTGACCAAAAAAAAGGCCCATTAATGTTGCTCATGCATTTCAACATAAAAATGGAATGGAATCATTGACTACAGGTAGAAATGTGCAAAACTATTCAAGATAAATATGCTGCTTTGCGGCTACACATTCACTCCACTTTTGTCTGCCAACTTGATTTTTGAATTGGGCACTCATGGATAAAAGGTGTGTGATCTGAAAAAATAGTGTGTGTCTTTTAAAAGTCAGTGTCACGTACTGTCATTCCTTTTGGCAAAATTTATGTTACATGGTACGAGACCATGGGCTGAGCTAATGTAACATGATGCATTAAGAACCACACATGATGACTGCAATATGTGTCAGAACAATGAATTGTTATATCAGATACCTGTTCAGCTGTAAATAGGACCCTCTGTAAGTCACTGGCGAAAGGATTGTATTCTCTCCTTACCTGTATAGAACTCCTATTATCTAAAACAGCGGTTCTCAACCTGTGGGTTGCGACCCCTGAAAATAGATCCTGCATATCAGATATTTACATTATGATTCATAGCAGTAGCAAAATTACAGTTATGAAGTAGCAACGAAAATAATTTTATGGTTGGGGGTCACCACAACAGGAGGAACTGTATTAAAGGGTCGCGGCATTAGGCAGGTTGAGAACCACTGAACATGCAGCTGTCCAACATCCTTATTCTGTGGCCTGTGGCCATTTGAGTTGTATGTTTAATACACTCAGACAATGAGAACACAGCACATTATGAAAGCCACGGTTGGAGATATTTTTTATTTCATAGGGATTTTTCTTCCAAAGATCCAATGGCTATATCTTCCCCTCCCCTCAGTGAAGAGACATACTCATGGAGCTCTAATGGAGTCTAACGAGAAAGCCCTTTGGGCTGCTAATAATGGAAGTCTCATAAACAGTAGCTTAAATGCCCAAGGATTTGTTTTTCTCAGGTAAGATAACTAGGGATAGGCAGCTGCTGGTTTTGGTTCAGCAGCTCAATGATACCAGGGCTGCTGTCTCTGAAATGTTTGTCTTTCCCTCATGGTTGAAAGATGGATGTTTCACTCCAGTTATTCCGTCTACTTTCATGAAAGAAGGGGGCGGGGAGGGGCAGTTCCTTATATTTGTCTCTTTTATCAAGAAATTCAAAGCATTTTCAGCAACCACCTACATATTTCCATCTATATTTATTTGCCCAGAATTGTGCACTTGGTCACTTCCAGCTGCAAGAGAGGTTGAGAAAGTAACCCCTGCAATGGAATCAGGTATGGAAGAGAGTCTGGGGAATTACTGTTGGGTAAGCCAGTTAATAGTATCTTCCTTAGATGTCACTAATAGTATGGGGGAGACTTTAAACAGTATAATTATGGTAAAAAAAATTAATATTGACTTCTACCTCACAGTAGGCATGCCTGCATAATACTCTCCTCTTAGGGTTAGTACTGATCCCTCCCATGGTTAGTACTTTCTCATGGTTAGTGCTCGTAGGGTTAGTACTCTAGTATACAAGAAAGGGCCTTCAGTAGGTCTACCTCCTCAAAGGCCAGACCCAAAGATCAAGTCCTGGAGACAGACAGTGTGTGTGTGTGAGAGAGAGGGGATGTTTCAGATTATTTTAGTAGCCCATTTGCTGAAAGGGAAGGTTCTGTGACATTATTAAATGGGGGAAATAGTCGTTTTAAAGCAGCATTCATTCATTTAATAAATATTTATTGAGTGCCTATGATGTGCCAGGCATTGCTACATGCTGGGATACAGTGGTAAGTAAGTCCAACATGGGTCCTTTGTATACGGAGTAAACAGTCAAATATTAACTCAGCATGATCTCATTAATGATAACATGTACATCTCTATATTCATTTGACTATATGTCCCACTGTGTTCTTAGTCTCCTACTTAGGATCTCCTTCCTAGGTGACATTTATTTAATGAACACTTTGTATGGGGCTTAATAAGTATGAGCACTATCCTAAGCACTTTATAAATATTAACTCATTTCAGCTTTATAACAACCTTATGAGGTAGGTACTATTATTATTATCACCCACATTTCACAGATGAAGAAACTGGCACATAAAGAGGTTAGTAACTTGTCCAAGTTTACAGTTAGTAAGCAGAGGTAGGATGTGACCCTAGACCAGGGGTGGGCAAACTTTTTGACTCGAGGGCCACAATGGGTTCTTAAACTGGACCGGAGGGCCGGAACAAAAGCATGGATGGAGTGTTTGTGTGAACTAATATAAATTCAAAGTAAACATCATTACATAAAAGGGTACGGTTTTTTTTTTTTTTTTTAGTTTTATACATTTCAAACGGGCCGGATCCGGCCCGCGGGCCGTAGTTTGCCCACGGCTGCCCTAGACAGTTGGGCCCCAAAGTTAAAACTCTTTACAACTACTGTAAACTGACAGTAGGAACAATTTCACCTGATCCCCTATCCTTATAAATGTGGCCAAACTTCATGATCTAAACGCAGGGCCTCAAGCATACAATATGGTGCTCACAGACACAGATAAACACGCTGTTTTTGAGGGCCTGGGCATAGGCCTGGGTACACAGCAATAGTGGCAGAGGTGTTTTGGCTGGTGTGTTGTTACATTTATTTATTACTGGCTTACAGGAAAGTCATAGATACAAAATCATTAAAACAAAGAGAAAAAGGACAAAAGGGTGGAAGTAGAGTTGGGGTTGGGGTGATAGGGAGTATTTACATTAGAAAACCTAGGATGAGGGAAACTCCTGCAAATCAGCCCAAAACCAAGCTCTGAGGTTCTGGAAAACAAGGCAAAGAGGAAAATATGAAGAGTTATATGGCTTTTGTTATCTGACTGAAAGAAGATCCTTGACAGTAACAAGAGCCCTAGTTACACAATCCTTTGGTTTGTGGGTTTGGCGGCGGCTGTTGCTTCTTTGCCTTATGGGACTGCCCAGTAACTTTGTATCAGTGAGCTACTGGATTTCTAATGGTAGCATTTACCTTTGGTGAGTCTTCTAGGTTTTTGGTTTTCTTTTGATTCCACTCATCCCTGCCCCCAGTATTTCATGGCTCTGCTGCTTCACTTGAAATTGCATTTCAGTGTGCCAGCCAGTTGGACGGCAGTAGTTACTGAGTTTAGCTCCTGCTGTGTACAGAACACAGGCGTAGATTAGAGGAGGAATATTTATGGAAGACAAGATTCTTGCCTCTAAAGAAGTTTATAATCCAACTAGGAGAGTGAGCACACACTTGTGAAAGACTCAATAGTTTTTAAAAGAAAAAATGAAAATTAATATTGGGTGATTCCAAAGTATGGAGGGAGCATTGAACAGGCGGGGGGGGGGGGGGGGGGGTCTGTCGTGGTAGATTTTCTCCAGAAGGTGGGGTTTGATCTTGGATTTAAAATAAGGGTATTAGCCCGGCTGATGTGGCTCAGTGGTTGAGGTCACTATTTGATTCCTGTCAGGGCACATGCCCAGGTTTTAGGCTTGATCCCCGGTAGGGGGCATGCAGCGGGCAGCTGATCCATGATTCTCTCTCATCATTGGTGTTTCTCCCTCTCTCTCCCTTCCTCTCTAAAATTAATAAAAATAGATTTTAAAAAGTAAAATAAGGGTATTGGACTGGTAGGGTGGAAGGGTGTTTCAGAGCCAGAATGAGTAAATCAAGTGTAGGGAAGGGCAAAGACACTAGATGGATGCCCAGCCTTCCTTGGGGAACTCCATCAGGAAGAGGCTGATGCAGAGGGGCACCTCATTTTATGCAACAGATACATTTTTTCTTTGAAAATAGAAAACAGCAAGAGGCCCGATGCACGAAATTCGTGTAAGAGTAGGCCTTCCTTCCCCTGGCTGCCAGCACCGGCTTCCCTCTGGCACCTGGGACACCCCCCACCCCCTTCATTCAGAAGGTCATCCAGAAGGACATCCGGTCTAATTAGCATATTATGCTTTTATTATTGTAGATCAGTGGTTCTTAACCTTCCTAATGCCCTGACCCTTTAATACAGTTCCTCATGTTGTGGTGACCCCCCAACCATAAAATTATTTTCGTTGCTACTTCATAACTGTAATTTTGCTACTGTTATGCATCGTAACATAAATATCTGATATGCAGGATGTATTTTCATTGTTACAAATTGAACATAATTAAAGCATAGTGATTAATCACAAAAACAATACGTAATTATATGTTTTCCGATGGTCTTAGGCGACCCCCAAAGGGGTCGCGACCCACAGGTTGAGAACCGCTGTTACAGCTGGTGGAAAGTTACTGAGCATCTACAGTGCGCCAGGCACTGAGCTTCCATCTTCCTCTCCACTCGGTGAAGGGGGAGTTATTTCCGCTCCGCCCACGAGGCAACAGGCTGGGTAGGGAGGTTCAGTGGCTCCCGTGCCCAATGTCATCTGGCCTTTAAAGGGGGGACCCGAATGTCAGTTGGTTTGACCACCAGGCCCAAGCTTTTGTGTGCCACACACATTTTCGTAAGTTGAATATTTAAGTTACACCCTCGGTGATGACTACCTAAGTCCCTAGTCATTTCCTTTAGGAGGTACATACCTACAGACACTTTTTGCAGGGGTCTGGGGTAGAGGGTAAGCATTTTCTTGACTGCGTGCACGATGGTAGTTTATTTCATGAAAGGTACATCGCTTTGCCCTGTTTGATACCAGATAACGACACCGAAAATATCTTTAATATGATTTTTGGCCACTAAGCGGGTAATCTCGCAAAGCCATGTCACCGCCCAACCTGTCCGTAGGGGAGACACTGAAGTTTCCCAACACACCCGGGCTGTGGCGACCGGGAAGAGCGTACAGCTTGTGTCCACGCTCAAGGGAGGGGAGAGCTAGAGGAGTGCTGTAGGGAGAGACGGAGGCTGACTCCCCGAGAGGAGAAGCGAGCGGCGGCCGGTCCAGCGCCGCGAAGAGCGGCCCGATCGGGTCTCCCCGCCCCGGGCGTGGCAGGGGCGCCGGCCTGCGCCGGGGTCTGCGCATGCGCGCGGGGCCGTGGCGACTCCGCCGACGCGACCGCCTCCTCCGCGCGCGCTCGCAGCACGGTTACCCCGACTCTCTGCCCCTCCTTCCCGCGGCGCTCGAGGGACCATGGCCGATCCTCGCGTGAGACAAATCAAGATCAAAACCGGCGTGGTGAAGCGGTAAGGAGCCGAGAACGGCGCCGTCGCCAGCGCCTCCCCTCCCTCGCCTCGGGGCGGCCCGAGAGGCCGGGCGGAGCGCAGGCCTCAGGCGGGCGCGGGAGTCCAGGCCTCACCTGCTCCGCGGGCGGCGGGGACGGGCCGGGACGGAGCGGGGCGCGCCGGTGCCGGAGCCCGCGGCCCGGGACACGCCCCTCCACCTGCCCCTGCCCTGGATTTCCCCACCGTGAACGGTGAGGGTCGGCGGCAGCCCGGCCCTCGGGCGTGAGCGGGCGGGGCGGCGAGCGGGAGGCTGGGCCGGGCTTCGGTAGCGCCTCCCCTGCGCGCGCCGCCACGCCCACCGACCGCGGGGAAGCGGACCGGGGAGACGGCGAGCCCGCTCTGAAGTTTCGGGGGCCGCGGACAGCCCGGCCCCGATAAACAGCGAGGCCTTGGTGACGCCCGGAGATGAACGCGGCGGCGGCCTGGGGCCCAGAACGCAGCGCCCGCCTCCAGTTCCCGCGGCCCCCTCTCCCCACTGCGTTCCCGAGCTCGCCCCGGAGGTGTGGGGTGCCGTTTAAGGAGAGGCCCCGCCGTCGGCTCTCACCCCGGCGGCTGTTACACACTCCGTGCTCGTTAGGACTCGATGGTTGCGACCCGCGAAGGTGAAACTTTTGAGAGGCGGCCCCGGAGAGCGGGTGGGCGGGCTTAGGAAGCAGCGGCTGGCAGAGAGGCCTCCTCCCAGTCGGCTGGCTTTTCCCTCTGTGCCCACGGTCTGTCCCCCTGTAACGCCTTTCCGCCGGAAGGAGGACAAGGCGCGGGGGAGGAAAAATCTCCCTTTTAAGCTGTTGCCCCCCGGCTTAGGTAGCGCAGCAGGACCCTGGACTTCCCCGGACGCTTCCACTTGGAGGCGGCCAGGAGACCGTGTGAGCAGCAGCGCGGCGCACAGCCTCTTCGGGAGGGAGGCCGCGGGCTCGGGTCCGAGTCCTGCCGCCTACTCTGTGCCCTTGCCTGCAGGTGCCTCGGGGTCTTCATTTGTGAGACGGAGGCAGCGCCCACCTCCTGCAGCTGTTGCGGGAGGCTCCTGCCCTGCACGCTCTGTAAGGTAGTGTGTGGCAAGCCGCCAGGGGAGACTGTGTCGTCCCGTCTTACAGACGAGCAACGGAGGTTTAATGAAGTTAAAGGAGAAAAGCCAAACTTGTCTGAGATCTCAGCACTCGTCAGTGGCAGAGCAGAGGCAGGAACCCAGGGTTGAAGGACAACACTTCCAAAGTATTTTTTTAAATGTGTGATAATAGGAAGGGACTTGAGATCTCTCTCTCAATATATATCTATATATGTGTATTTAAAAGATTTTTTCAGTGACAGTTGAGAGATGTAATTAAAAATAGAAATAATTTGCACCATTACTCACCCCAGCATTCTGTTGTTCACTTTTGCTAGACTTGACTTTGGTTATGTCATTTTCATAAATCTATTTAGTAGAAGCACCAGGGTATAATGGAGAGTGCTTTACATAGAAAATCGCGAGAAATGACGTCTAATGGTAGAGTCCCATTAATTACCTATGTGATTTTGCCATTTCTCATTCTAATGATATATACTAGTTTATGAAATTACTCAGTTCAAGTATTATATGCTTACAGTACATGTTCTAGAGAAAACAAACCCATTTAGATAATTAAGAAGCTAAATTTTTAGGCTTTCAAACATTCCCAAGTACTTATGGAAACTGCTTGGAGATAAAGTTTTATTTTCATCTTATTTCAATAACAGCGCATTATCAAATTTTAATGTTGATTCTTCATACTTCATCACATTAAAATCATTTTTTGAAACCTGCATAATTTACTATACAGTATATTCAATTGCTTATAAATTAATGAAAATATCTATCATACATTTTTTCATGGCTTTGTTATTCACATTTTGGAGTGGAGTTCCCCATGTGTACTAAAATTAGATATGTGTGTGTTTTTAATCCTAAAATTTCTATTTTAGCTATTTATTACACATATTTTGCTTTGGTAGAAAACCATCTAATTCTGTAAATATTGTTCCCTACTCTCCTTCTCTCGTTATTTTTCTCTGAAATTTAAGTATAACTCTTTCCATCTTCTGACTTAGTATCTTTTAAAATTCTCCATTGTACCTCAGCAAAGAAAAAAATAGATGAGGGAGATACAGCAACATATCAATGATTGCTGGGGCTGAATGATCATGGGGCTTCATTATATTCTGTATATGTTTAAATATTTTTTCATAAAAAGGTTTTTAAAGGTATGCATTTTTCCTCCTCCAAATTTAGTTTCAAAGATTTCTTGATTAGTTTCATGATTCAGACATGTTCCTGGTTTTGTGAACACTGGTTTCTTAAAACAGTGGTCTAAAAACCAATTTCTGTTCTCATCACCTTTTTTCTAGTTAGATGTTCATTTCCCATAGCCCTGTTTCTCTTCAGAAGTCATAACTTTTATTTGGAAGAAGAGATTTAAAGTCATCACTCACACCCCTAGTGTTGTGCCCAGATTTCAAGGTTCCCAAAAAGCCCACCAGGGAGCCAGCGAGTCCAATGCAAAAGCAAAGAGTCCTTCATTTCGAACTAGTTCAGCTCCCCGACCACACTCACCGATGCAACGGTAAGCCCAGTGGCAGAGAGCGAGGCCTGATGGGATTGTGGGTTTTATAGTTAGGGCAGGGGAGGGGACTGTGGGCCCCGTCGATTGGCCAGGCGCGAGTCGGGTCTTGTTACACAGGATGTGGTCATCTCTATGGCGCGCACGTCCCTTGATTGTCATTGGTTAGTTTAAAGAAATCCCAGGCGTGGCCAGCAGGAGCCTGGGCTTCCGGAAAGAAGGTACTCTCCTGAGCACATGGCGGCTGCCCCAAAAATGGAGGACCCAGGGCAAGATGGAGGGCGCAGTCCTAGCCCCCCCAAGGGCGAGCTGAGCCCGGGCTCCAGGGACCAGTCCAGTTGCCGGGGGTCCAGCAGATCGACCGGTTCCAGCCCAGACAGGAAGTCCACGTCCTCCGTCTCGTCCCCAGGGGCGCCGGCGATCGCCTCCTCCTCCATCTCCTCGGGCGAGGGCACGCGCCCCGCCGCCGCCGCTGCCGCGCGGGTCTGGTCCGGGGGCAGCGGGCGGGTGGCGGCCTGCGCCGGGCTCCCGCCGTGGGCTGGGGAGTCAGTGCCCGAGGCTGCCAGTAGCGTGGTCAGGCTGTGCCTCATGGGGCCCTGCGGCCGGCCCATGTAGGCCCCGCGACGACTCGCCCTTTCATTTCCCCCCTTGTATTGGAACTTCCGGCTCAATCATGAGACGGACTGCATTTCTATTCCACCGTTGCTAGAGGCCCATACTGGGCACACAGAACTATTAACTGAACTATCCCTATAAGCTTAACAAATGGTCCGGTGGAAGGGAAAGAAACCATTTTAGATTTAACAACTTCTATTGAAATAGGATTTTTCTTCTTAAAATTCCTCCATGGCTATCAAAAAGCCAAATCAAGATTAATTTATCTACTGTCCTGATGTTTGCATAAACACAATAAGAATGGTAACTGACTACCTTTGATGGAATTTCATGGTTGAACCTTAATGTGCCCCGTAGGGCCAGGAAGACAAGCCATCCAGCTGCCATCAGGCCTGCCTGCAGTATCTGCTGAGTTAGGTGAATCCCTCACCTGTAGCAACTCCACCTGAGCCCACGCTCCAGGCTTTAAGGCCCATCTCAGTAGCTCTCCTACTTGTTGCGGCCCAGAGTGTGTGGGGGTTCCGCAGGGACGCAGAAGCATCTTTACTGCTCCCCTTCTACTCTTACCAACCGTCAGTGATGGTAGGGCATGGGCCTGATGCTCCAGCGCCAGCCATCTTCAGGGCTCCCAAGCAGGATACCAGGCTTTCTTCATGGCATTTTTATTGGCTTCAAGTCTTTAGAGCTCAGACAGGGCTCTTTAAAACATGATACTCCAGCCGAAACCGGTTTGGCTCAGTGGATAGAGCATCGGCCTGCGGACTGAAAGGTCCCAGGTTCGATACCGGTCAAGGGCATGTACCTGGGTTGCAGGCACATCCCCAGTAGGAGATGTGCAGGAGGCAGCTGATCGATGTTTCTCTCTCATCGATGTTTCTAACTATCTCTCTCCCTTCCTCTCTGTAAAAAATCAATAAAATATATTTAAAAAAAAACAACAAACAACAACAACAAAAAAAATGATACTCCAGTCAAAGTTTTCCATTAATAAAACCACTATTAGGAACCAGTCTTATTGGATCTATGCAAAGAAATGTATTGCATTTAGTTTAGCATTGCCAGATTTCGGAGGAATTACATAAGGAGAAAAACATACTGATCTACTCTAAGATTTTCTGACTTTCCTTGCTAATTCCTTTTCATGGATTTAAAACAAAACAGTAACTGTTGGTGTAAAACCTTTTTTCTATGCATAACCATGCCTCAGACCTTCTATTCTAAACAGGCTTTTTCCAGCTTTACTACCCCTGACATGGGCATGGTGACTCAGGCCTGCAAGGCAGTATTACAGGCTGCCAACTGTTAGCCGTCTCTCAACAGAGACCAAAATCTGATGGGCACCCTTCCCTGCCCAGTTGGGCACCTGCCCTCTTGGCAGCTAGACACCCTTTACTTTTCGGGGTCACCCCACACAGCTCCCTTCCAGGACAGCCAACATACATTCAACCCTGCAAAAGAATCAAAGGTTAATATAACATATCAATACAATGAAACATAATATTGGCATCATGGCCGCTTCAGGCAGCCAAATCTTCTGCTTCTAAACATGTGATCCTATAAATTGTCCTTGTCTCTTTGGAGCCATGTCCATGAAGATGCAGGCATTATCTAAGTGTATTACACAGTATTGAGGGGGCTCCTGGTGACAGGAGTGATCGCGAGTCATGTTACTGGCATCAGGCAGGTCGAGCATGCCGTAGCTTGAGCTTGAGCGGGTTGCGTTGATCTTGATCGATGCTCCATTTGGTGATGAAGTCTTTCTGGGTCATGGATGGATCCGCTGACCGGACGTGAGTGTGATGGACCCAGGTCGTGACGCCGTCTACCTTGAGAGCGGTGGGAGTCGTCAGCACCACAATGTAGGGACCCTTCCAACGTGGCTCTAGGGTCTCCTGGTGGTGCCTTCTGACGTAGACCCAATCTCCTGGTCTGTGCTGATGAGGAGTTGGGGTTGGGCTGGTCTCGTAGATGGCACGGAGGCGCGGCCAAATGTCCTCGTGCGCCCTCTGGAGCCCTCTCAAGAAAAGAGATTGTTAAAGAAAAGCCACCCAGTCCTCGCCAGTCTCCGAGTCAGATTCCTCCTCTCTTGGAGAACTTCAAAGTCCTGATGGCTTCTAGGTAACCCTGTTTATTAGTTATAGCGCTCTGCTTTCTTGCCTTTCTACCAGTTCCCTTTGTGGCAGAGCAGCAACCAGGCCTCTTTCAAGGGAGCGCGCTAGAAGTGGGCATCAGCCCCTCCTTTGCTAGCAGCAACAGGTACCAAACCCTTTCAGTACATTTGACCAGCTTCATTCCCGCCCACCTTTACAGATTCTAAGGCCCATTGTTTTCCTTTAACCAGCAAGCTAAATGACACTGGCCTGTATTATTTAATTCAGCACGGGCAGGGAGAAGGGCCCATGAAATCTCTGCCC